TMMRYCYTCTCTTCTCACCCTCTCGCCACTTGACTTCTCAGACTACGACAGAGAGAGAGAGACAGAGTTGTGACTTGAGACTTGAAGCCATTGGATCCAGACTTGACATTTGGGATTCAGACATTTCGACGAGGGACTATTTGGGCTTGTGCCGAAGACTTGGTGTTGACGACATTCCCATCTTCCCCCTCCTCTTCGTCTATCCCCTTCCTCTTCGTCTGTGTATGGTATGGGCTGGCGCAGTCTTCCTGTGTGAAGCGCCAGGCCCCATTCACACTATGTAACGATGACGATGATGTATGTTCAGGGCTGCATTGCGACGTTGATTGTTCGGATCACTGGTATCTAAGTCTTCCGTTGTGCTATCTTATACTTTGTATTGAAAGGTCGGTTCTTGTTCTGGTCTGCACGTTACAGTATGCAACAGTTTGGTATCGGAGCTATCTTATACTTTGTATTGAAAGGTCGGTTCTTGTTCTGGTCTGCACGTTACAGTATGCAACAGTTTGGTATCGGAGCGGACCTCTCAATCAAGTAGCCAGCTTGCGATCTATTGATCACTCATTAGTAACGCAAGTAGGACTTAGTCAAATCTCTGAAAAAAAAATTCTCGCAACAACTATCTGAAATTTCTGATATTCGCATTTCGTTTTACCTGAAAATTTCCGGTATTAGTAGTTCGTTTTTTTGTTACAAATATCTGAAAATTTCTGATAAATCGCATTTCGTTTTGTCTGAAAATTCCCGATAGTAGCTTTTTATTTCTCTGATATTTCACATACATAGCTGAAATTTCCGAAGTTAGTATTTCGTTCTCTAGGCATATTGGGATAACGAGAGAAGTGGTCATATTCTCGGAAACTGAAATTATTCTTTTCTGAAAATCGCATTTCCATTCAATATCGCAAAATTTTTTTTGAAAACCGAATCTTGCGAAGCCTACCAATATTGCGTTAGGCATATTCGGAGGTTGCTATATTCTCAGAAACTGGATTTCGTTCTTTTCTGAAAATCGCATCTTTACTCCATTTCGCAAAAAAAAATTCAAGATCGCAGTTTGTAAAAGCCGAAACTTTGCGGAACCTAGCCTAGATCTCGTTCATAATACTCTTCTGACATATCCTACTCATCATAGATCGACAGATATATACAAAAAAAAAAAAGAAAAAAAAAAAGGAAGTAGTCCCCTTTTATTTTTTTATTTTTTTTATATTTTATCTGTTGATTAGGGCCGAAGGAAAGTATTCTTGGGTTGGTTACCTACCTACGTTTTCCCTCCCACCCACCCCTTGCACACATCCCGGTTCGGTATAGTGCCACGTCAGCAGGGCCACGTCACAGTGCCAGATCAGCAGTGCCACGTCACAGTGCCAGGTCACAGTGCCACATCAGCAGTGCCACGTCACAGTGCCAGATCAGCAGTGCCACGTCAGACTCAGTGCCATGTAAGCAGTGCCACATCAGCAGTGCCACGTTAGACAGTGCCACGTAAGCAGTGCCACGTCAGACACAGTGCCACGTCAGACACAGTGCCACGTAAGCAGTGCCACATCAGCAGTGCCACGTCAGACACAGTGCCATGTCAGACAGTGCCACGTCAGCAGTGCCACGTCAGCAACATGACGGGCCTGCCAGGCCAACTGGCCAATGAGCCCATTGCCGACTACAAAAAGCGCATCCATGCTCAGCTTGCTGCAATCGAGGCTGAGGAACAACGCCAGCTGGCAGTCAAGGCTGCCCAGCTACAGGCTGATGAAGCGGCAACAGCAGAGAAGCTGCGGCTACAGGCCGAAGCAGACGCAGATGCCCAGGCTTGCCGCAAGGAAGCCCAGGCTCTGCTGCAGCGGCATGAAACCAACAGCATCGAGAAACTCAAGTACTGGCATTTTGAACCGAACGGCGACGAGCCAACACCGGAAGAACAGCAAAAGGAGCTCATGGCCAAGCTTGTGAGCAGGTTGGTTTACACATGTAACCACCTACACTCCGAGCTGACAAACCTTCAGCGGGCCGTGCGGGACCATAAGAGTCAGCACGAGGATGCCACACAGGCACTGGACGCCCGTGTACAGGACCTGGAACAGGCTGTACCAGGACCAGATGATGGAGCTTCCAGCAGTGCATCCTCTAGCCGCCAACTGGAGGAACGCGTTGACCACGTAGTGGCAATGCTAGGAGACATAAGTGCCTTCACAGAGCCGGCCACCATCAGCCAGCGGTTCGAGTTGCTGGACACTAAGATCGGTCAGCAACAGCAGACTGACCACAGCCACAACAACAGCTCGGCGAGGCCATACAAGATGCCGACGTTCCGGATCGAGAAATTTGATGACTACACACATCAAGACCCGGTCGTCTGGTGGCAAGGATTTACAACGGAGTTGGGGATTCACGAAGTCCCTGACCATCTGTTCATCAGTGCTCTGTTCATCAACACCAAGGGAGGTTGTCAGATCTGGCTCAGCCACATGGCAACCATCCACGGCGTCCAGGTTTCAGACCTGTACAAGAAGGTCTCCTGGGAGGACATGACAAAAGAATGGAAGAAGCGGTTCATCGTCGACGGCGCCCCGACACTCGCCGTCAACCACATCTTCACGATGGCTCAAGGGAGCACACCGACACGTGACAGGCTCACGGATTGGCAGAAAATCGTGGCGACGCCCGATTTGGACTTGTCATTTCCGCATATGCGGCGTGAGTTCTACAACAGGTCATGCGCCGCTCTCACCCTCGCACTTGGTGATCGCGAGCAGTACAGCACTTTCGCAGAAATCATCAACAAGGCAAGAGAGCTCATCAAGACTAACAGGTCGGCTGCACACGAGAAGTCCACGTGGCAGCCAACCTATGTGGAGAAGGTACGAACTGGTCCGCGACAGCAGCAGTTCGCTGCAGTCCAGTCGGACGATGGAGATAACCCAGCAGCCACTCCAGCATCAAGTGACGGAGATCAGGTGGCTTCTGTCCAGCCGCGAAGCAACAACAAGTCCCGCAACAATGGGAAGGCGAAATCCGCATCGCAGGCAGGAAATGGACAGCCAGTACAAGTTCCATGGGTCAAGTTTGGCTTGACCGAGGCGGAGTACAAGGTCCGCGGCCGCTACGGCAGCTGCTATTGGTGCAACAGCACCAAGCACAAGACCTCCCTGTGCCAAGATC